TTCCCTCAACTTTTGCTTGTCTGGGAATTGTTTAATCCCTCCTTCATATTTAAATGATAGTCGTGCTGGATACAGTATCCTTGGTTCGAGGCCCTTCTGTTTCATTGCATTAAGTATATCATGCTATTCTCTTCTGGCCTGTAGGGTTTCTGTTGAGAAGTCTGATGAGAGCCTGATGGGTTTTCCTTTGTAGGTGACCTTTTTTTTTCTCTCTGGCTGCCTTTAATACTCTGTCGTTGTCTTTGATCTTTGCTATTTTAATGATTATGTGTCTTGGTGTTGCCCTCCTTGGATCCCTTGTCATGGGAGTTCTCTGTACCTCTGGTCTGAGAGGCTATTTCCTCCCCTCGTTTGGGGAACTTTTCAGCAATTATTTCTTCAAAGACACTTTCTATCCCTTTTTCTCTCTCTTCTTCCTCTGGCACCCCTATAATGCAGATATTGCTCCATTTTGATTGGTCACACAGTTCTCTTAAAATTCTTTAATTCCTGGAGATCCTTTTATCTCACTCTGCATCAGCTTCTCTGTGTTCCTGTTCTCTGTTTTCTAGTCCATTAATGGTCTCTTGCATCTCGCCCATTGTGTTTTGAAGTCCCTTCAGAGATTGTTTTATTTCAGTATTCTCCCTCCTTAGTTCTTGCATATTTCTCTGCAAGTCCGTCAGCATGGTTATGACTGTTGTTTTGAATTCTTTTTCAGGAACATTGGTTAAATCTATCTCCTCAGGTTCCTTCTCAGGGAAAGATGTAGAAGATGTCGAAGCTGTCTGGGTTAGTCTTGTCTGGATCAAATTTTTTTGCCTTTTCATGTTGAAAGGTGCTGTGGTGTGCTATTGACTCATCTGTCAGCTGGGAGAGTCAAGACTTTCCACTTGCTCCTGGCCTTTCTTTCCTGGGACAACTCCGACCCCTAGTGGCTTGTGTTGGGCAATTGCATGTATATTGGGTCTCTCTATCTTGCTGGGCAGGTATGGAGGAAGCTCCCTTGCTGTGGGCGTGGCCAGCCTCAGGCTTCTGCTCTGCTGTGGCAGGGCCCCGGACGGGTAATGGATGGGGGGCTGTTTGGTTGTTTACCTCCGTGAGGGGTCTCAGAGCTGTTGTCCAGGGGGTTAGTGTGCCCGGAATTCCCTGGAATTTCCAGCTGCTGGACTGTGACCCGGGAAGCTTCCGTCCAGCTCTGGTGTCCCTGTCCCTTTAAGACTTTCAAAAAGCACTTGCTTTTCTATGTCCCAGGGGCGCCAGCTTTGGGACCCGCTCACAGGTCTTACTATCCTGCTTCCCTAGTTCCCAGCACCCCACGCACACACTGTGTGTCTGCGCTCTGGTGCGGAAGGCTGGGGCTGGGTGTTCAGCAGTCCTGGGCTCCCTCTCCCTCCCCGCTCTGACTCCTCTCCTCCTTCGGGGAGCTGGGGTGAGGTGCCTTGGGTCCCGCTGGGCTGCGGCTTGTATCCTACCCCTTTCACCAGGCACTGGGTTCTCGCAGGTGTGGATGTAGTCTGGCTATTGTCTTGTGTCTTCTGGTCTCTCTTTTAGGGATAGTTGTAGTTGTTGTATTTTCAAAAATATATGTTTTTGGGAGGAGATTCCCAGTGTCCTACTCACGCAACCATCTTGGCTCCGCCTTCCCATCATCTTAGTGTTAACCTTAGCACAGCATTTAGTAGTCATTCGACATATCTGCATTTGTTCTAATGAACATAAGTTCTCTTCTCTCTTTCTTTTATGCGACTGAGACTATTGAGCTGGGTATCACGAGGCCTGGGTTTTGTGTTTGATATTCCAACCTCGAACCTTGTTTCTGACTTATTAATGGTTAGACCATTGCTAAGATGCCTTCCAGCGCTTGCTATGGTTTTGTGTTTACCTATCTATTTGTATGCCTTGTCTTTTGGTGAATTCTGTTTTCCCTTCTGTCTCTGTAATACTCTAAGTTGGAGGGGAGAACTGGGAAGGCAGGTACACACCAGAGGGGTTCCTGACCTCTGGGCAAGGAGTTTGACAACTCTTTATAACCTGACCCAAACTTCTGCTGTTACCTAGGTGCCATCTGCCTCTTTCAAGAAACAGCCTACCTTGACTGCCAGTTGTTGCCTATTTCCCAGAATACCGAGGAGACCCAAGGGATCCAGCACCAGGAGAATCTGAAGAGTCTGGGAGGAGACCTGATCTCAATACAAAAGGAGACCCTGCTCAAGGAAGAAACAATTATTTAGTCCAGGATAGACTGTCCTCTGCCCTCCATCCATCTGTGGGAGTGTACCTGAGTAGGTGTGTGTGGCTCCCCCTTTGTGGCCAGTCTCTGCTACTTTGGATGAGTTTCTTGAGACTCAGATCAACCCTCCACTTCCCCATACTCACAGTGACTCTATCTTGCTTATATTTGAAATTTGTTAAAAGTTTTAAAAATTCTTCTGACAGCTTCCTGAGTGATTTTTGTTTTTGCAGGTGTTTTCAATAAAAGGACTACTGTGTGTTAATCTATACCTCAAAAACAAACAAACAAATGAACAATAACGAAACAAAATCCAAAAAACAAAAAACCTAACCAACCAACCTAAAAAAAAAAAACCAACCTCCAAAACTAAAACCAGCCTGGAGGGAAAGAAGGGAGGGAGGAGGAATATTACAAAATGACCAAGTGAAATGAGCATTTGTGAAACAATAACTGAACCAGACAAGACTATAACCACAAAAGAAGGTGTTGTTTAAGTTAGTGACATTAAAAGAAAAAGTGATGTCCCCAGACAAAAGTGTGACTCAGTCCAGGAATCTGCTTAAGTACGTGTTGGAGGGAAGGGTTGGGAGTAAGTAAAGGTGAACGCTTCCCCAAGAAGGAACTCCAGGTCTGAGACTCAGAGCCCAATGAGTCTGTGCCTCTGGGCATAGGCGAGAGAGAAAACAGAAGATGAAGTCATTTAGTAAATGACAAAGGCCACATCTCAAATCAATGAGAACGGCCTTTTTAAAAGAAGACAATTTGTTGGTCATCTGCAAGGAGATCATTTTGGGTCCATACCTTATAACACTTGCTAAGGCCAAGTCCGGTTGGGCTCACAGATCTCAGATTATTTTATGTTACAAATTACACCCTCAGTCCATCTAGGAAATATGTCAGATAGCTTTCCTTCACCAACAGGCACTCACATCCAAGAGGCAGGAGCCTGAACCTTATCATCCAGGGGCAAGAGAAACTACTCGATGGGCTCAATCTGTCTCGGAAAACCGAACTTTACCTAACAATACCAAAAAGCATTCTTCAGCTTGCCTTGGAGGAGAAGACACAGGGAAGAACACATTCTGGAAGAGGCAGGAGATGGGAGCAGATCACAGGTTTCCAGGTCAGCTCTGGAGACAAGAAAGGGGCTCCTCTAAACTGGGAAGAAAAGAATCAAAGAAGAGTGATGATCTAGGTCAGGACTCAGCAAACTTTTCCTATGAAGGGCCACATAGAAGCTATCCTAGGCTTTGCAGGACACAGTTTTTGCCTATTCCTCTTTGTTTTTATAATCCTTTACACATGGGAAAACCACCTTCAGCTCACAGTCAGGGGTGAATTTGGCACAAGGGCTGTGGTTTGCTGACCCCCTGAGTTGGTTATTTTTCAGTTCTTCGAGAGAGGTGTTAAAGGACTTCATTCTTGGTCTCTTAAGGAAGTTATCTACTGAGAGTGCATGGGACAATGACAGGCTGAGAGCTTAAATAATGCAGTAAAAATTGGAATCTCTGTTGTGAAGAATGATGCAAGAGAAGATCGCAGTGTAAATGGAAAGACTGCCAGGCAGCGCTGGACGCCCAGGTGAGACTGAGAATAAAGCAGAACGACAGCAACAAGTGACCGAATCCACACAACTGCTTGTGTGATCTGGGGGCAGATGTGCAGGAAACAAAGCTGCCTTAACCCATTACTGAGACTTGTCATGACGATTATGAGAGAATGCCAAGGGGAGGGAATGAGGGCTCTGGTGCGAGGTTGTATTGAGCAACCATGGGTTCAAGCTGAGCAGAGGAAGAATGGAAACCAAAAGGAAAATGAAGCTGAGTCAGAAGTTAGGATGGGGACCTAAATCAGGTTTCAGGAATTTTTCCAGAAATATTATAGGCAAACTGAGCATAAAATGCATATCCTTTCTGTTTTCCATCGACAGAATCATGTTATATTCTGTTCTGCACTTTCCTTTTATTCACTAAACAATAGCTCTTTCCATACCTACATATATCGTTCTACCCCCTTCTTTATAACAACTGCACAGTACTCTCATGACTTGTGAACCTTACTGGTGGACATTTAGGGTGTTTCCAGCATTAAGATTTACCAGAAATCTGGAATGAACATTGTTACATATAATTCCTTGAGCACTTTTTTGCAAATAAATCAGATGAACTCCTGTACATGGAGTTGTTGGGTCTAAATGTTATATGCATAAAATCTATTGCCAAATTATCCCGCAAAGAGTCTGCACCAATTTCCACTCCAATGAACGCCAACACTGGATGTTACCAAGTCGTTTAATCTTTACCAATCTAATAAGTGAAATAAATCGTGTCCCAGTTTTTATTTGCATTTCTTAATTATGAGCAAAGTCAATTGTTATTCCTACCATCATTAGTGACTTGTATTTCTTTTTCTGTGAACTGGATGTTTTTTACCCTTTCCTCTGTTTCTGTTGGGTTATTTCTCTCTCTCTCGTTGATACAGGCACACCTCAGAGATATTGCAGGTTCAACTCTAGACACTGCAATAAAGCAAGCCAAATAAATGTTTTGGTTTCCCGGTGCAAATAAAGTTATGTTTGCACTATACTGTAGTCTATTAAGCATCCAATAGCATTATGTATAAAAAATATACATGACTTAGTTAAAAAACACTTTATTGCTAAACACTGCTCACCTGAGCTTTTATGTTTTCATCCGAGCTTTCAGTAAGTTGTAATCAATGATCAATGATCAACACAAAAGTACAATGAAAAAATTTCAAACATTGGGAGAATTATCAAAATGTGACACAGAGACACAAAGTGAGCAAGTGCTGATGGAAAAATGGTGTCAGTACACTTGCGTGATACAGCATTGACACAAAACTTCAATTTGCAAAAAACACAGTATTTGCAAAGCACAATTAAGTAATGTGCACTAAAATGAGGTATGCCTATTTGGCTAATAAGAAAATTAGCCCTTTTTCAAATATTTCACAAATATTTTCCTATTTGTCTTTCATCTTAAGGGAACTTCCTGTGTGCAAAAATTATGTTTCATGTATTCAAATTCAAATTCATGTGTTTTGTACCTTCCATACACCAAGATTATTTTTTAAATCTGCCATATGCCTTTCCATATACATTATGGCTTTATTGTTAAGTTTAAATCTTAGTTCTGTATGAAATACATTCAGGTCACAAAGAAAAAAAAAAGAAATCCAGGCTTCACCTCGTCTTTTTTCCGATGGCTAACAAGTTTTCCTCAACACCATTTATTGAAGGATCTATTTTTCCTACTGACTCAAAAGGCCAAGTTTATCAAATATTATATTCCTATGTAAAGCTGGCTCTATGTTTGGGCTCTTACATATTTTATAATCTATCTCTATCCTGTATTAGGACATGCCCAAATGTAATTACTACGGTTTTATATTTGGAAGAGCTTTTCTACATCACTGGCCCTGCTTTCCCACTTTTTTAAAGGAGATTTTTTAAGAAAAATTAAGAACAGTAGTCTGAAAACTACAAAAGAAACCAAACACTGACCTCATGCTGCTGGCCGTGAGAGATCAGAACAGAATCAAAGGATTGCTAGGGAAACAGCATTGCCAAAAAGAAGACAGATTTCATGAAGGACCAAATGAAGGCATTTTTTCCTAGCAAAAAAATATGGTACAGAATGCACTGAGAGCATTGTGAGAGCCTGAGAAGAAAGGAAAAAGCAGGGAGGAAGGGACAGAGGGACAGAAGGGAAAGGGGAAGAAAATTATCTGACAAAAGACAAGAGACAAGGCTATGTGGTAAACACAGAAATGAGTGAGGAAGGGATAAGAAGCTGCCATTACCTTGGAGAGGAAGAAAGGAGGCAAGTGAGTTTACTTAAAAATAAAAAATTACAAACCTGTCCTGAACATCAGAGAGCCTGGGTTGTACACCTGGCGTTGGACTGAACACTTCACCTGTTTCCCTTATTGAAAATGACCTGTCTTTGGCAGGACAAAGGGAAATGGCAGGTGTGAAAATTGCTTTAACATTAATTATATCTCATTCCCTCCCTGTGACATTGTCATTATCATCATGACAAGTCTCAGTAATGGGTTAAGGCAGCTCTTTGTTTCCTGCACATCTGCCCCCAGATCACACAAGCAGTTGTGTGGATTCGGTCACTTGTTGCTGTCATTCTGCTTTATTCTCAGTCTCACCTGGGTGTCCAGCGCTGCCTGGCAGTCTTTCCATTTACACTGCGATCTTCTCTTGCATCATTCTTCACAACAGAGATTCCAATTTTTACTGCATTATTTAAGCTCTCAGCCTGTCATTGTCCCATGCACTCTCAGTAGATAACTTCCTTAAGAGACCAAGAATGAAGTCCTTAGGTGGATTAATGATTGTGCATTGAGCATTGACCCCCCTATACAGAATTTTATTGT